ACACTCTCTCTCTCTCTCTCTCTCTCTCTCTCTCTAGCTCTACTGTGGGCCAGATTTTGTGAAAGTCCTCTTCCGAGTTCTTTCAGTTACAGGGAGCAAATACTGATACAGGTCTTCTGTGAAAACAAAGTATCATCCAGGGAACTTTTGAAAAGCAGGGAGCGCTTGTTCCAGGGAGCTTTACAAAGTTTATGGAAAAATGGAATTTAAAAATACTGAACGATTTCCACAACTTTTAAAGCCCTCTCATAGATAGTGCTGAAATCCATAAAAAGAATCCTCTGTCCTGCGGGGTCTGACATGCTGGGGAGAGAGCCGAATGGGGAGAAAGGCAGAGCCAGGGCCCCAGTGAGTGTGCATACTGGGAAGGAAGTGAATGGGTAATGAAGTAGGGGTATGATTGTGTGACGAGCAACAAAGCTCCACAAAGCATGGGCGCTGCATCCGAGGGGTTGTCTCTGCCTCGCATGTGTGGGGAATGAAGAAGAATTGAGAATGAGTTAAACTGTTGGCATATGCAATTCAGAGAATGGGCGTGCCATTTACCAAGATCGGAGAGCTTAGGAGGAGGAAGTTTGGGGGAAGGAAGCGAGTTACTAGACTCGTCAATAGACTTGGCAGACGGGTACACAGTGCCAGAGTTCAGAGGATCTGGGTCAATGACATGCATTTGAGAAGCATCCAGAGTGCGGCTGGCACAGGAAGTCACGAGTCTGGGTGAGGTCACAGAGAGTGGGGAAAAGGCTGGGGACAGCCACCAACAGTAGAGGTCAAGGAGTGGTCATGGGTGTGTGGAAACCTAGAGAAGGAGGATGTCAGGAATTGAGGGTCAAGGGAGATGCCATGCTGAGTACAAAAGCTCGCTCAGAGTGGGTCGGAAGCTAGGACTATTGGCAGCTCTTGTGTTGTGGAGTGTTGCTCTAAACGAATTGGTGTCTGTTGTACATGGCTTTACACAAATGCTTTGATTGCTCCAAATCTGTTCTCACCTTCGAAATGCAGTGATCCCACCTAGCCTGCTGTTGAGAGCATCTCCTGAGGTTGGACAAAATGATGACGCGTTGAATGCTTCTGGCCCGGCTCTGTCTGGCATGTGGCTGTCCTGTGAGCCCCGGGTTCACCCATGTTCTGTCTCAGGAGCTTTGTTTATCGTCAGCAAATGAGGCATTTGCTAAAGCAGGTTTCACATTATAGGTTTTCCCCACTCCTTGGCCCTGGAATGATCTGTTTACCCTCCCATTACCACTCCTGCCCTGCTCTCCTCCAGTGCCATAACCTCCAGCAAGACTCTTTCTCCTGTATACTCCACTTCATGCTATCCTGAACTTGTGGTGCAGATAAACCCCACTCCCACCCCTCCAAAGGACCAGTGTGGGCTTCTCTCCCACTTGAGAGCCTTCATTTGGGTCCCATTCCTCATCTCTGAGCTAGACAGGCATGATGCCCTATGATTTAGCTTCTAGCACATTCTTCCCTTCTCTGCTTTTTAAAAAAAAATCTTTTTATTGGGTGCTCGTACAACTCTTATCACAATCCATCCATCCATTGTGTCAAGCATATTTGTACATTTGTTGCCATCATCATTCTCAAAACATTGGCTTTCTACTTGAGCCCTTGGTATCAGCTCCTCATTTTCCCCCTCCCTCCCTGCTTGCCCCTCCACCATGAACCCTTGATAATTTATAAATTATTATTATTTTGTCATATCTTACCATCTGACGTCTCAGCCTGTGAGATCACAAGGTGTTGCAGGGATCAGATATCAGGCATCAAAGAAAAAAAAAATCAGCATTGTGAATGAGGGGGGAGTGCGGAGTGGGGACCCAGGGCCCACCTGTGGCAATTTGGACACCCCCTTGCAGACGGGCCATGGGGAGGAGACGAGCCAGTCAGGGTTCAATGTAGCAATGATGAAACATACAATTTTCCTCTAGTTCTTGAATGCTTCCTCCCCGCCACTATCATGATCCCAATTCGACCTTACAACTCTGGCTGGACCAGAGGATGTACACTGGTACAGATAGGAACTAGAAACACAGGAAATCCAGGATGGATGATCCCTTCAGGACCATTGGTGAGAGTGGTGATACCAGGAGGGTGGAGGGAGGGTGGGTTGGAAAGGGGGAACAGATTCCAAGGATCTACATATAACCTCCTCTCTGGGGGACGCACAGTGGAGAAGTGGGTGAAGGGAGATGTCGTCTACTCTTCTAATATCTCCAAACCATCAGATTTGCTGTTCCTTCAGTATATATTTTTTCTGCCTTGTCTCTAGGCTCTGGAATATTCTACCCTGTTTTAATACCCATGTGCAAAGCTGTATGCAGCACTGTAATAGAAAGAGCCTGCTCCCTGCACAAAGCTCTTGTCTGTTTGCTTAATTCAATCCCACATCTAGAGCGGATCTGCTAATCCACTAGTGGCTGTACAAAGCTGACCACTTCCTGCCTTACCTGACACCTGTGTATGAAAGGGCTTCCCTGCAGGCCCGCCCTCACCATCAGGTTGCTGAGGGCGCGGAGCCTGCCTCTACATCTCTCCTAGTGCCATACATGCGGAATGTTCAAGCAATTGATGAATCACATTAATCAGAAAGCCTCACTGTGGCCCAAAAGCTTTAGTAGTGAGTGTGGATACGACTGAATCCTAAGGAGCCCTACTGGTGTGGGGGCTAGGCACTGAACTGCTGAGATAGGCAGTGTGAACCCACCAGCTGCTCCTCAGGAGAAAGAGGAGGCTGCGTTTATTCTCATAGCCCAAAGTGGGAATCCTCCTTCCCTGTCCCGTAGGGTTGTCATTAGTGGGAATTGACTTGATGGGAATGAGTTGGAGGTTGAGTTTTGAAAATATGGTAACAAAGGATTTTGTGTTTCCTGGGACTTGAAAAAATAAAATATATCACTATTATGTCCATTTTAAGAAAAGTCTGTAAAATTGCCTAATGCATTGGCCCACCCATTCCAGTCCTAGGGAGTTAGTTAGAACCTAGTCTTTCACATCTGTGAGGATGATCATTTATAATGGGAAAACCTGGGGATAGCATAGATGTCCAGCATTCGGGAATTTGTTAAAATAAAATAACTGGATGCATATCCATGTCCTAAAAGTATTATTCTTCTCTTAAGAGTGTAGATGTGCATTTGTTGACTCAGTAAAATGTTCATACTATAAGAAGGAAAACTTTGAAAACATAGTGTCCTGTGATATCATTTACTTGACCACGTTCATGACCGAATCACTTTCTGCATGCAATCTTTTCTTACTATCATGTGGTTTCAGTAATGGAAGTCATGCCGAAATCCTAGGGAAATTTTGTTTGTTGAGGTAATAGGAATGTTGCTAAAATCATGTGGGCTACACATGGGGTGGTAGGGTTGTGGGGCAAGGCCCTTCTCCAGATTTTCATAACCATCCTGGTCCTCTTTCAGTTGGTAGAGCAGTTGGTAGAGAACTTTACTTACCAAGAAAATGGAGAGGCTGAACATGTTGCTGGGTGATAGATGTGTATGCCCCCATGGTCATGAGTGGATTAAAATAGTTGGAGAAAGATTCATGGGTTTATGTAGTGTTAACACTGATTATCTTTGGTGGATGCTAAAATTGATGTTTTTAACACACACACACACACACACACATTGCCTAACCTTTCTACAAAAAACATGTCTATCTTGTTTGATAAAACATTAAATTAAAATCAGAATTGTTTGAGTACTTTTTCTACTAATTCAAAACACACTAAGAAGACACGGGGGGATAAAACATTGCTGTCAAGTTAACCTTTAGGTTTCACTGCTAAATGCATTGACCTTTCATGCATGATTGTGGAGAATCCAAGTCCACCTGGTCCATATCAAATGGTAGCAGAAAACCTGGGGTGGTTTTCTCTGCATTCCCGCTTTGCTGATCTCTGCTATAGAGGTGATTAGTTCGTGTCTTTCTGAATGGCTTCAGCGGTAGGTTGTTGCCACAGGGCTGTGGGCTTCGTCCCAGCACAGGGCACTGGTGCTCTGAGAAGCAACGTGAGATGCAGCCTAGCAGCTGTTTATCAGGCAGGCCTGGACACCTGTGTTGACTCTTGTGCGTGTTCTTGTACAACTGTGGGCTCCATGGTAGTAGACATGGTGGATGGAAATGTTCCCAGTGTCTTCAGTGCTGAATGGCATCCTAACTCTTTAATGTTGTTGGTGTTGTTCTCAGCCCTGGAGTTGGCACTGCCTCATGGTGACCTCATATACGGTAAGATTAAATGCTGTAAGTCCTGCTCTGCAATTGTTGGTATACTCCAGTTCACTGTTAGGGTCACTGTGCCTTCCGACCTTTGGGGCTCATCTTCTAGCACTGTATCGGAGAGCATTCTGCTGTGATCACTTGGGTTTTCATTGGCTCATTTTAGAATGCAGACGTCCTCCTAGACTGATTTACTGTGGACGGGCCACTGAAACCGGCCACCAGGGTGCTCCTGCTGGTTTGAAATTCTGGAGGCCTATCTTCAGCATCAGAACAGCATACAGACAGACCTCCAGAGTGAGGCCGACTGAAAGACAGGTGGTGGAACAATAACAATACAGATTTCTTGACAACGGTCCACGTGTTGGGTTTGAAAGTGATTTTTTACAATGGTTCGCTTGTAACTGAGACGTGTCCCACTTCTCCCCCCTGTCTCCCTCAGTCTGCGGGCCGGGCATTGACATCCGCAATGACTACCAGCAGCTGCGGCGCCTGGAGAACTGCACTGTGATCGAGGGCTTCCTGCACATCCTGCTCATCTCCAAGGTGGAGGACTACCGCAGCTACCGCTTCCCCAAGCTGACCGTCATCACCGAGTACTTGCTGCTCTTCCGTGTGGCCGGCCTGGAGAGCCTTGGCGACCTCTTCCCAAACCTCACGGTCATCCGTGGCTGGAAGCTCTTCTACAATTATGCCTTGGTCATTTTTGAGATGACTAACCTCAAAGATATTGGGCTCTATAACCTCAGGAACATTACTCGGGGGGCCATCAGGATTGAAAAAAATGCTGACCTCTGTTACCTCTCCACCGTGGATTGGTCCCTGATCCTGGATGCCGTGTCCAATAACTACATCGTGGGCAACAAACCCCAGAAAGAGTGTGGGGACCTGTGTCCAGGGTCGATGGAAGAGAAGTCGTTGTGTGAGAAGACCTCCATTAACAATGAGTACAACTACCGCTGCTGGACCACGGATCACTGCCAGAAAAGTAAGAATCACACTGACTGCTGCTTCCTCCTCCCCCTCCC